GGAGCCTCGACGACTCACAACCCTATTGGCAAGTAATGAATCACAGTGGCCGTGCGGTCTAAGGCATGAACTGTCTTCGCTTACTCAAACGCTGGGACCGTGGGTTAGAATCCCAGCCAAGGCATGGATGTCTGTGTGCGTTTATTCTGTTTGTGTTGTTCTGTGTGTAGGTAGCGGCCTTGCGACGGGCTGATCCCCCGCCCAAGGGATCCTACCGACTGTGTATAGGATTAAGAAACTAAAAACAGCGGCCAAGGTCGAACAAAGGACTGTAAAGCCATAGATAGATAGATAATGAATCCGGAAATATATGGAGCAAGTCGACTGTGGCTTAATTTAAGGTACTGTTTCAGTTTGCCTGAACAGACTGAGGAAAACCGAGGTAAGCCTCCGACAAAGTAGCTGGTTTTCGTGTCGAGATTTGAAGCCGGGACATCCAGAATCCAAAAATGGGAGTTGAACACTCACCGCAACGCAATGGCTGCACAGTTTCCGTGCTAAAGGGAGTATTGACTCGTGAAATGGAGTCACTTCGGCCGTTACATAGCTACACCCTACTTCTGCAGGCTCGTGACCCAACTCGTGGGGACAGATCTTCACTTATTCACGGATACTGTACACACTCAATGGGACAGAACCCCATCAGTAAGCTTCGGCGAATTGTGCCGTTGTGAGCATCCGGCATATGATGCCGTAACTGTACTAGATGAACATCAACATTTCGGAGGAATTTGCTGTCTCTGTCTTCAGGGCAGAGACGCAAGCAGCGCGGGGGGGTAAGTACGCCTTGGAGGAGACTCCCTGTTTTCTGTTATGTTGTTTTCTCACTTCTTTCTATTCATATCGCGTAATTTTAGTTTTATTTGTGTTCTGCGCTTTGCTTGACACCTCCTCTCACGCGACAGTCCCTGCTCTCACAACAAAACAACAATTTTCAAGGCTACTGGTTTCTATTGGTTCGCTTACAGCCCGTGTCATGGTCCTTGCCTCTCTATATGCGTACTTGTTTCTCTCAGTGCGTACTGGTCCGTTTGGAGGTCCCTGCGAGTCGTAGGAGGCGACGAATAGGGAACCCAGTGCCTGGGGGATATAAATACGGGGACCTGGCCCTCCAAGTTGGGGGAGTCTCGAATCTGAGACAGTCAAATTTGGTCATGAGTCCCGCGGGATTCGGACATGAGAATGACTGCGCTGGTAAGGACCAGCAGCAATTGTAAACTACAGACTCACACTCTCGTCAGAGAGGACGTTACATAAGGACTACGACGGCAAGTATGCAGCTGAAAAAAAAATACTGGTCGTGAATCTCAAAGAGCTTGCCGCCAAGACGAACTGACTGACAGTATACTGCCAAGTAGTCTGTTCTCTTGCCCTGTTTAGCGCCCAGACATCCGAGATCACGGAAGAGTAGTGAGGGCCTTCTTGAGCACCCAGTAGCGTGCCGACAGAGACAGTGAGCGATATGTTATCGCCTCTGGACCAAAACAAACGAGGAGCAAGCAGCGAAGTTTTGAAATCGATGTGTGGAACAAGTTTTGAATGGCATTCAACAGGTGTCAGAGCGAGGTCGGAATGCCAAGTGGCTTGACGCAAGTGCGCTACTGCTCACACCTTCTCCTCCTCACAGCGGCATCGTGTCATCTGATGACAGTGCAACAAATACTGACGTTATCTGAAATCGTCATCATACAGTGGAGGAGGGGGAGGAATTTGCCCCTTTCTCAGGGGAAGAAACACAAATTGCTTGCCTGTTAATGTGAGGTTCGAGGCTTTCACCGTGGGGAATATGAAGATTGCTGTCTTAACGGGATATGACCCCGGCTGGTATGGTGGGTGGGCATCAAGTTATTCGGAGGGATCAACTGCCTCCATCTTCAGGGTAGAAGAAAAAGCCACAAAAGGAAAATAGCTTGCTGATACAAGGCGGTGAAGAGCTGGATGGGGTCCATGTGCGAACCGACGACCCTGAAGACATATGTACTTCATGAAGCAGAAGCAAAATGGAGTATCTCTACTATTGAGAAGGTCTGTAGCCAATTAACTTGTACGTAGGGCGTAACATGAGTGCCAGCAGCAATTCCGGATGTAAAACACAGAAACATTTTTGCCTCTGTAGGGTTTGAGGCTGTCACTTTGGTGGTACTAACTTCTGAGATACAACGCCGTCCATGTAGCCCGTTGAAAGTCAACAGATGTTTCGGAAGAACATATCGCCTCCATTTTCAGGGTCGAATGAGCTAAGAATTGCCACCTGCTTTCATGCTGGTATCTTGCTCGGCTTATTCGACCGTGAAGATAGTGGAGGCGATATGTTCCTCCGAAACGTCTGTGGACTTTCAACGGCCTACACGGTGTTGTATCTCGGAAATTAGTAGACTAGACTCCCAGCTTCGAGATGGGTGGGAAATGAATTTCCCCGAAAGATCAGAAATCACGGATAATCAGTGAAGTGAATCTGCAGACCGTGCCATAGCCCGGGTTCGAGCCCAAGTCAGGTCATGTTGGATTTGTGGTGGACAAAGTGACATTGGAACAGGTTTTCTCCGAGTACTTCGGTTTCCTCTGCCAATTCTCACACCACCGAATGCTCCACACTCAACATCATCTGCCATCCGGGGCTGGTACAATAGGCCAGTTAGTGGCCGACGTACCAAGTGGACTCAGTCTCACCCCACGCCAAGAAACTAAATAAAGAAAAAGAAATCCGTAAGTAACTTGTGAATTGGGGCTTATATAACGACATATGTATTTATAAGTGTATATAAGTACATCAGCAAATCAGAGTGGCCGCGCGGTCTTAAGCATGACTGTCGTCGGCCGCTCGAACACTGGGAACGTGGGTTCGAGTCCCACTCGAGGCAATGATGTTTACGTTTATTTGTAGGTAGCGGCCTTGCTATTGGCTGATCTTACCGATTGTTTTAGGATTAAGAAACTGAAGTGAAACAACGCGTTTCAAGGATGCCCTATGCTCCAAGTGGGAGCAACAGGAAATACAGAGAGGGGGGGTACAATAACAACATACGTACAATTGTACTTGCAATCCTGGAACAAGAAACATGAAAATATTATCTTTTATAAAGTAAAAGTGGAGCCGGGAGAGCTCAGTCGGTATAGCGACTTGCTACGGGCTGGACGACCGAGGGATCGGAGTTCGAGTCCTGGTAGGGTCAACAATTTTCTCTTCTCCAATAGTCGAGACCGGCTCTGTGGTTCATCCAACCTCCTATACAATGGGTACCGGGGGCTCTTTCCGGGGTGTAAAGCGGCCGGGGCGTGAAGCTGACCACCCACCTCCAACTAGTGCCGAGGTCAAGAAAATGTGGATCTATATATCCACAACCCCATACTCCTTCATGGCGTAGTGCTAAATTAGTTAAGGACAGCGACAACTTTACCTTGTTACCTTTTATAAAGTAGAAGTAAAGAAGTGTGTTCGGCCCCTTCAGTGGCATTCCTGCGTTAAGTTTCGTAGCGTCTTTTCCTCGTTTTGAAAATGTGGCACAGTTCAGATATTTGGGAACTACGATAAGAAATCAAAACCTGATTCAGGAGGAAATTAAGAGGAGACTGAACTCGGGCAATGCTTGCTACCATTCAGTCCAGAACCTTTTGTCTTCTCGTCTGCTGTCCAAAGACATAAAAATTTGAATATACAAAATTATAATTTGTCTTCGCTCGCTCGGAAGCCGGTATCATGGGTTCGGATCCCACTCAGGCATGGATGTTTACTTCGTGTGTGTGAGTTTTTCTGTGTTTGTGTACAGGTAGAGACCTTGCGACGAGCTGATCACCCGTCCATGAAGTTCTACCGTATGTCTAAGATCTAGAAAACCGAAGTGAAACGGACAGTTTCATGGAGGTAGGCCCAGGCCCAAACGATGGCTGTAGCGCCAATGAAAAAAATATATACATATAATTTTGCCCGTGGTTCTGTATGGGCGTGAAACTTTGTCTCTGACATTAAAGGAGGAACATAGACCGAGGGTGTTTGAGAACAGGGTGTTGAGGAGAATATTTGGACCGAAGAGAGATGAAGTGACAGGAGGTTGGAGAAAACTTCATAATGAGGAGCTTCACAACTTGTACTCTTCTCCAAGTATAATTAGAATGATCAAGTCAAGGAGGATGAGGTGGACAGGTCTTGTAGCACACGAATGAGGGAGGCGAGGAATGCATATAAGATAGTGGTGGGAAAGCCAGAAGGAAAGAGTCCACTGGGAAGACCAAGGCGTAGGTGGGTGGAAAATATTAAAATGGATCTTAGAGAGATAGAATGGGATAGTATGGATTGGATTTGGGGCGTAACAAGGCGTTAGCGCGATTTTGTGGGACTATTCAAAATTTAACTTGACATTCGGCTCACAGATGTCTCTGAGTTTGTCAGCCTTACGCGCCGGCCGCTATTTACCCCAGGAAGATTCCTGGTACTCATTTGTATTAGGGGCTGAGTCCACCTCATGACCATAATGCAGCTGGAAGGATTAGGTCAATTAAGAAACAAAGGGCCTCATCGGGAATCGAACCCATGTCATTCCGGCTTGTAGCATAGTGCCTCAACCAACTACGGTACCGCGTGCCCCCTAAGACGGATGATGAAGGTAAAGCTGTCCTAATGCTTAACTAATTAAGCACTACGCCATGAAGGCGTATGGGGGAATGGATGTATAGATCTACATTTTCTTGACCTCGTCAGCTTCACGCCCCGGCCGCTTTGCCCCCGAGGCAAGAACCCCTGATAGGAGGCTGGTTGGTCTCCAGAGCCGGTCTGGACGACGTGGAGAAGACAAAATTCTTGATCCAACGAAAAGTAAAGGCGATGGAACCAAAGGAATAAATTCGTGTGCAGCGGCTGTGGCACCTGCAGATCTGGGGATTGTAGCAAGCCAATCGCTTTTGCCCTTCCGAGGCGCTTCAGAGCTGTGCATTCTCCCGTTACTGAAACCGACTGGCTTCCAGAGGCCAAAGCAAAATGATTCGATTCTGAGCGGCCAACTTACCGTGCGGTACGTCCGCTTCTGTCCTGCGTGCTTTCCCGCTCTCCCCTCCATTTCAACATGGACGCTGTAGATGATGTCGAAGAAGTTCTCCACAACCGCCACTTTCTTGAACAGTTGCCTCTCTCGCCCCTGCCCGTCCTGCAACACACGTCACTCTGTACATTAGCGCTCTCCTCACCAGTGCCGGCTCAAAGCAACAACTGTGGAGCCAGAGAAACAGCCGTCGCTATGCAACGACCGCGAGGAGGGCGTTCCTGGGCAACGGATCGGTAAACACGTTACCTCGGGAATGAATAATGCAGCTGTTGGGTTGTAACAATGGAAACGGGGTGTTTCCGTGGTGGTCCGTTCCGGGATGATATAAGCGGGACAGTGTTTAGTGCTTGGTCAGTTGACAGTCGGGCTATGAAATGGCCTGGGAGCTAGTTAGTGAGCTCTGGAAGGGAATCTGTGAAGAGAGGACTTGAGTGCGTGAAGCTGAAGAATCTCCACTGTTAGAAGCCGTTGCCAGGGAACGGCTGAAGAACAGCAGGTTTGAAAAAGCTTAGCGGGTGCTGTGGTGAGTTGTGAATTGTAGACAGCGGTGGTGAAGTCTACCGGGACTGAACCTGGACCTCCGCGAAGAGCAGAGATGTGGAATGACCTGGAAAAATAATTCTAAAAACAGTTGGACTTAAATGAAGTACATACAAGTCAGAGAAGAGGATTCTACGCTCATGTCTCGCAACCTCCTTCCACAGGGATTCGGCATACAGCACTAAAGTGGAAACAAGAAGTTAGTACAAAATATAAGAGGGAAATCCTTCCGCAAAATGGGCCATATTCTCCAGCACTTTTGGCTTCCCAAGCCACGATGTTCTTGTAACAAAGTTATGCAAGCTTACTGCATCCTTGTCACTAAACAAAGTGACTAGGCGACAAGCCGACTCGGATCACTTACTTCCCGGCATGTAATTACAATTTCCTTATGTAATCCTCTTTTCTGACATAATTTCTTTCTCCCTTAGTGTAAGTGAATACAGTTCACAGGCGTAGAAAAAACCGGTAAAACATCTTACATGAGGCTGTCCCAAAAATCAGCCTTTCACAGTGGTCGCGCTGTCTACTTCATGAACTCTCTTCGCCCGCTCGAACACTGGGGTCATGGGTTCGAATGCGTTTATTCTGTGTTTGTGTTGTTCTGTGTGTAGTAGATAGCTGCCTTACGACGGGCTGATCCCTTGTCCAAGGAGTTCTACTGACTGTGTATAGGATTAAGAAACTGAAAGAAGCGACCAGTGGCCAACAAAGCGATGTAGAGCCAATGATGAATGAATGCTGTTGTAGTCCTTTGTTGGCCACCAGGATTTTTTTAGATCAATTTGCGTTTGTTACTCAAATAGCGAAGAGTTTCATAAGAAAGCTAGAACTTACATGAAACCCGAGTATGTAGTTCATTGCGTTGTGCATAAGTGGCGCTGTCGTTGGGTATCCTTCTGTACTAACCTCTTGTTTAATGATGCCCCAAAGCGCATGAAGGAAATGCTCTGGAATGAGACACTGTGCAGACAGGCAGCCTACCAACAAGGACCCTGTAGGTCCTTTTACGGCAATCGTACTCATATACCAGAAGATCCTGAAGGTTCGGCCACACAGAGCGCTACGCTATGTTCGCTACGTACGCTACGTGCGCTGTGTACACTCTGCGACGCAGCTAACATAGCGAACAGAGCGTACGTAGCGTACAGAAGTCTGTGTGGCCAGTCACATTGGCAGTAAAGGGAGATATTTTTCTGTTCGTATAGCGAACATAGCGTACGTAGCGCGCTGTGTGGACGAACCTTGAGAACCTCAAACATCGATATGTACGCCTATTTTCTGAATATAATCACTTCTAAATGTTATCATGGACGGTGTTTTATTTTTTACTAATAATCCCAGACGCCAAAATAAAAAAAATCAAGTGATTTGTTGTATTAAACGGATTATGTTTCCCCGTGTTCTAGCGTCCAGATCGGTTCTGGGGCGCACCCCAGAGGGGACGCAACTTGTTTCTCCGTCTTCCAGCAGTAGAGACAGGGTTGGGTTTCCAGAGTGAGGGACGCAGCCTGTTTCTCCGTGTTCCAGCAGTAGAGACAGGGTTGGGTTTCCAGAGCGAGGGACGCAGCCTGTTTCTCCGTGTTCCAGCAGTAGAGACAGGGTTGGGTTTCCAGAGCGAGGGACGCAGCCTGTTTCTCCGTGTTCCAGCAGTAGAGACAGGGTTGGGTTTCCAGAACGAGGGACGCAGCCTGCTTCTCCGATTCCCTGCTCCCGGAAGCACATCACCAGCGCGGCCCTGGAGGACGTCACGCCTGTTGAGGGACCCCACCGTCATAACCATTCAGATCATCGCCTACTTTTCCCCTTTCCTCTCACAGACCATCATAATCATTACCGTCATCAAGTTCCCGTCCCCCCTCCACCTTCCCCCACCCACCTCCTAATACCCTTACGGCGCCAACAGTGGGTTCTTATATAAAAAAGAAAACTGACGTATAAATCAATAGACGAAGCAAGGCGGACGCCAGCTCCACCCCCACCCCCACCTCACACCAGCCCCCGTTTCTTGGGGGTTTGTGCTCCTTTCTACCCTATGAGGCCGAAGCCAAGAAGGATGTTTCAGAGTGGATGTTGTTCGAGCCTTCCTTACAAACTGCACCGCAAGCTGTGCCAAACACCATGGAGCGCACGTAAACATGAGATACATCCTGTCACGTGTTTGAGTGACTATAGACGGGGTTTGGGATTGATAATCTTTTTTATTGGACACTTACAGAACGTAACTACAAATAACTACGAGAGTCTCACTGAGTACCACACTCCAAAGATCAATGTAACTACAGCACACATAAAGTTTTCACTAGCCGTTGCTTGGTAGCTGCTTTCAACAGCAGACGTTCCCCCTTCCTATGGGTTCCTGAACTGTCGCCAGCCTCAGCTACCAACTTCTGACAACTGAAATTCTCAACTGACTCAGTTCAGAGTTAGAATCATTTTACGGCCTATTAGTTTACCGCCAATAAGTTCTTCTTGATGCAAAGCGCCTTGAGACCCACGATCAGGTCTGACTCAACTGAACTACTAGTCCTCTGTACATAGTCCTGGCACGGACCGCACAGAAAACATCTTTCATTACTGCGTGTTTTCTTGTTGCCGGGGAAACAACGTGTCCACAGAGCTGTTACGTAGTAACGGCTATTGTACTATCACCTGTTTACAGAGCTGTTACTTGGCACTGGGTCTACATGTCACAACACAAAGGGAACCAGGTTCTGAACACCAGAGACTCCATTAAAACACATGACTTTTCTTCCGTAAAGTTGCCCTCAAACCTGTTTTACACTAAGTATACTCAAGCAAGGAAGTAAGTAAGCTGAAATAACCAGCCCCAATAACTAACTTCTTGGAGGGCGGTCTGTCTTTAGAAGGTGACAGGTCCTCAGTTATTAAAGAAATAAAATTATTGACTTTCTGGATATTTTCCATCTTCCGGTTTTTTTTTTGTTTTAAAACATGAAGATGGATGTGAAAATAGTAAATAATTTTAATAAATACCACCGTTACAAATTTTATATATTTATAATCAATAAATACCCACCATTTTGTAAAACCTGAAAGTTCATTACAGTGTTTACACGAATCTGTCACTGGTCCTTATCCTAAGCCACATGAATCCTGTCCATCTCCGCCCTGCTTCCCATTAGGGGGATCGGTTTACCAACGTAGTTATATCTGTGGCCAGTTGTTAAGTGACGGACTACGCAAATTTACGCTTTTACGCACGTGATATGTTTTTTAGAATCTTTCGCCATCTCTTGGTGTTTTCAAGAACTACGCAACAGTCTGACTTCCAGTTGTATCTGAATTGGCACATTCCGCTGCGTCGATAAACAAATGTAGCTCCTTTACCTACAACTTGATTGGAGTTGTTAACAAGGTTACGTGTTTCGGCGCTAATTATGTGCCATCTTCAGATCATCCCAAGGGAGTTGAACAAAAGAAAAAATTACCCATATGTATTGACCAATGCCAGTTATGGAGGGGGCTGGCCATTCATTGATTTAATGATATTCTGTCTTCGTTGGTTATTTAACGACACCTTCAGTAGCAAAACCCTACAGCTTCGGACAATGAAGAACGGAAGCGGTTGTGGTCTAATCCAAGTATGCAGGACTAGCGGTTTTCACACCTGTAGTTATGAAGTCTACTGTCTTTTGGGATATAACGCCATGTAGCCCTTTGATAGTCAGTCGACGTTTCGAAAGAACATATCGCCCCAATCTTCAGAGTCGAATAAGCCGAAAAAGATAGCGTTATATTCCAGAAGATTTTAGTCAAGGTACTTCCCAGACTGAGGAAAAGCACGAAAAACCTCAGTCAGGATATCCTGTGTCCCAGCCAAGACTCGAACCGCACCTACCTAATGCAAGTGTAGAACGTTACTTACAGACAAACCTTTTCGGGTTTCATAATATGAAAGGAATGCAAACGTAAAATGTTCTCTGCAGTGTAGACACAATTGTGTACGTGATGTTCACACACGTACTGAGGTTTCTACAGCCCCCACACGCGGCGCCACCGTCGACTACGAAACAGGACAAGAGGCACCGCAGAACATCAGCAAACTGGCCTGCAACGAGTACAGCAATACAGCACGATCCTGTTTCTGCAACTGTTCTGCTTGCCCGTGCGTCATTCCAATCAACTCTTCTAAACAGTTGTTCATTCTGTATGCATACTGTCATGACTTACTTCAGTAGAGATTGTACTAGCTACTGCCACTTCCTCAAAACAGCTACGGCGTCCAGGAACCGTACCACCACTTTATTTTACCATTCATTAGAAGGCAAAGCTATCCCTGTAACAGGCCTTGGAGGCCTGTAGGGTTGTAAGACGTCGAGGTTCCCACATTTTCTAGGCAATCGGCTCATAGATGGCGGCGAGTTTATCAACCTTACGCGCCGGCCGCCCTTTACAACCCAAGATGATTCTTTGTACTCATTTCTGTTAGAGACTGAGTCGACCCCAGGGTCATACTGCGGCTGGAAGGATTAGGTAAAATGAAAAAATCAAACGACCTCATAGGGAATCGAACCCCGCGACCTTCCGGCTTGCCTCAA